GAGAGGGGCGCCCCTCCCCCACGCCTCACCTGGGCAACGAGGGGTCACTTCCACACGCTGCAGGTCAGCCAGCGGCCTGTGCTCTGCTCCCAGACCGCGCTTGGCAAATAGGGGGTGAATATTGTCGGGGCACCTGATCGCAGGGGCCGGCCCCCTCCCGCACTCGCGCTCGGGCTGCGGGCTGCGGGCTGCGGGCTGCGGGCTGCGGGCTGCGGGCTGCGGGCTGGGGGCTGCGGTTCTGTGCTGAGCCGCCTCTCCTAGTTTTTCTCAGGGACAGCGGACAGCGGACAGCGAGGGGGACTGAGTGCAGGAACCTGAGATCAACGTGAGGCCTTCCCGGGGCAGCGTGGGGGGCAGAGCGGCTCCGCGGGCTCAGGACAGCGTTCACGCCAGCTCATCCCGCTTCACCCCGGGGTTTGGAAGGACCAGAGATTCCAGACGGACTCACAGGTCCTGACGAGGCACTTTCTGGCCGGCGCTGGCGCTGGCGCTCTCCACTATAAGGGACCCGCAGAGATGCCGGCATGGGCGCTCTCCACTATAATTAGAAGTTGATTCGGGAGCAGGTGGGGAGCCGGGGAAGGAAACCCTAAAACCCGCAAAGCTCTATATGCAATCATTTCCCACCTGCTGAAGTGCAAACTTAGCGCGTGGCCTCTGTGCAGGCAGATGGACAGGGGTACAGTAGCGAGAGCAAAAGGACACTTTCAAAGGAAAAAATTCCCTCTCGTTGTCTTTGTAGGAAAAAGGAGAGAGTGAGAGGAGTTATCTGTATCATCTGGGCAGACAGTACTGTGAGGAAGGAGAATTTGAATCAGGAGGCTCAGCCCTGACTGAGCCCAGGGCTGGGGTGCATGTGTGTGCGTGTGTGCGTGCATGTGTGCGTGTGAGTGCGTGCGTGTGTGCGTGCATGTGTGCGTGCGTGTGTGCGTGCGTGTGAGTAGGCACAGCATGACTTTCTTCCTCTCCTCCCACAAATGATCAGGAGACCTATGATGCCCTTGACCAGAGGGACAGTCTCTCCAGTTAAAATGCAAAAGGCCGCAGGAATGGGGTTGCATAGGATTACCTGGTGCACCAGGATTTCTCAGCCTCGGGAAGAAATCAAACTGAAACGTTCCAGAATGTTCGGGGATCTTCAAGCTTGTAGCACACTGGCCACCACAGAGCATCTTGGGGAAGGCGGAAGTCCAGGAGAGGAACCCAGGTGCCTACGACAGTCCCAGGCACCAGGCACCACCCAACACGGGGCTGGCACAGGGCGGGCTTGCCTTGCCGCTGGTGACCAGACTCGGGAACTAACCACCATTGGCCACCGAACCGCCAGCAGCTGAGGGAGAGCCGGCCTCTGCCAAGCGCTGCCCCTCAGGCGCTTCTGCACCGGCAGCCCCGCCCGGTCTGGTCCCTGGCAGGTCCACGGCACACCTTCCCGCCACCGCAGGCCGGTGGCTCTGAGACAGAAGCCAAGGGCTAGAGAGCAATTTTAACCGTTTTCATCTCATGGCACATAAACTAACTGCTGAAATGCTGCAGCACACCAAAAAATGGATGGGTTTTCTTTTGCCGATCTGACAAAAAAATTAGGTATAATTTTGATTGATTCACACCAGACAGCTAGTGTTGTGTTGGCTGTTGTCATTTCTTTTTTTTTTTTAAATATACTTTTATCGATTTCAGAGAGGAGGGGAGAGAGAGAGAGAGAGAGAGAGAGAGAGAGAGAGAGAGAGAGAGAGAAACATCAATGATGACAGAGAAGCACTGATTGGCTGCCTCCTGCATATCCACTACTGGGGGTTGAGCCTGCAACCTGGGCATGTGCCCTCTCCCGGAATTGAACCTGGATCCCTTTGGTCCACAGGCCAATGCTCTATCCACTGAGCAAAACCAGCTAGGGCTGTCATTTCTTTATTGGACCATCTAAGGGAACAGTCAGTGCCCCTAACTCAATAGTCAGGTATTGCATGTCCTAAAAATTCTTGCCCACACAGTTGAACATAGCTGGGCTAGATCAACTATGTAAATACAATTTCTCTGCTTATTCTCAAATACCTATATATTTTGTTATACCAGCTTAGAAGAGTCAAGAAGATAATTTAAATGTAAATGTAAGTGAAAATCTAGTTCTAGGTTTTACTATGGGTGAACAGTGGGCCAAATCCAGGCCACGACTGTGTTTCTTTGACCTGTAGAGTGTCCCATCATCCCACCTACTATTTTGTTGTTGTTAATCCTCACCAGAGAATATTTTTCCTTTTTTTAGAGAGAGAGAGTGGAAGGGAGGGGGAGAGACAGAGAGAGAGAAACATTGATGTGAGAGAGACACATCAACTGTTTGCCTCCCGCATGTACCCCACACTCTGGCCCAGGATTGAGCCTGCAACCAAGGCATGCACCTTGACCCTTCAAACCTGAGGCCTTTCAGTCCACTGGCCAACGCTCTGTCCACTGAGCTGAAGTGGCTAGGGCCACAGACAACCGAACAAACACTACAGGACATACC